GGGTGGGACGGTGTCGGGGGCACGTTTGAGGGGGATGGTGGGCTCGGGAGTGAGGTGATAGGACTGGACCGTGGCATGGGCTGACACAACGCTATCCCCAGGTCACCATTGTGTTGGACAAGCAGACACGGCCTGACCCTGCAGCCATGCCTCCAGCTTCCTGCCCGCGGCCGGGCCTGGCCACCCACCTGTGCTGTCGTCGTAGACCACGGTGGCCGACCGCCACTTGAGGTACTGGACCAGGTCGAGGATGGCGTGGCTGAGGGAGGCGTAGTCGGGGTAGAGGTTCACGTAGAAGGTGTCCTTGTTGTCCGGCGGGTGGTGCTTCCAGCGCAGCTGGACGTGCGGCACCTCCAGGGCGTTGCAGATGGACTGCACGGCGCTGGTGCAGGAGCCCTGTGACGGCCCGAAGACGGCCACCACGCCCAGGGCCAGCTGGTCACAGGCTGCAACACAGGGAAGGCGGCACGGCGTCAGCAGGGCCGGGTCGGACGGGCCCCGGGCCTGGCCCAGCACTTGGGAGGATCAACAGCAAAGTCACCCTGAGGATCCCTGTGAAGGGCGATGCCGTTGGTGAGGGTCTGACAGGGATGGTCCTACGGCGCAGAGGGTCTGGTGTTGGTGAACCTGCCCTGGTGTCTCTGGTGGGACAGGGGTTGGGTTGACGAGGAGAGTGGGGCCGGTGGGGGTGGTGCTGCTGCTGCTGGCACTGGGGGGACCCAACGTCGATGGTGGTGACGGGGATGTTGGGATGGGGTCGGTGATGGGGGCGTGTTGAGACTGGGGGTGCTGTTGGTGCTGTGAAGAACAGCGGTCATGGCAGTATTGATGGTGATGACGATGATGATGGGGGAGTGGGGGGGAAGAAGATGGTGTCCTCAGGGCAGTGGTGACAGGAGGGCAGAGGCAGTGCCGGAGGTGTGGGGGTCCCGGGGAGTTGACAGTCATGGTCGTGGCGGTATGCCAATGCCGACGATGGTGACAGTGGGGTTGTGAGCATACGGGCTTCCCCTTGTCGGAGAGGCAGTGATTAGACCTCCCCCTTGGGTGACAGGAGCCACCAGTCCTGCCCTTTGTCTAGTTCCTCTCTGTGACCTGTGACCATGTCCTTCCCCCACCGAGGGACGATCACAGCCACCCCCAGGTCACCAGGGCCAGGGCTATAGTGGCGGCAGCAGCTTTAGCTCCAGATGTTTCCAGGGCAGCAGCGGCAGCCTTGCGAGCACACCGCAGTGGCCATTACATTATGTGTGGCTTCAATTCTGAATCCATTTTCCGGTCATTTTACAGTAACTCAGTGGTGCACAGTCATTGCAGGCGTCCGTGGGCTGAATGCAGTCCCCCCTCCCCCCACCAATTTCCCATGGCAATTGTAGTTATAGCAAAAATTATCTCAATCAATTTGTGTCTTAAAAGGAATTGAGCAGCCCGGAGAATAAGTGAAGGCGGAGGAGTCTGGGGAGTGCTGGATCGATTCCAGACCCGCTCTGGTCAGCCTGGGAAGAAAACACGGGCGCTCTCTGGGCTGCTGGCTCGAGCGCCCACCGCCTGGCAGCCACTCCTGTTTTAATTTTCCGCAAAACATTTAAAAATAAAGACAACAAGCGAAGGTCCATTTTAATGGGGGAAAGGTCTCCTGAGCCCCCTGGGGAGGGAAGGACTAACTAACCAGATGCGGCCAGGCAGGCGGTGCCACATATGGATGGCAGTGCCCGGAGCCAGCTGGTGGGAGGGAGCCGTGCCGGGAAGCCCTGTCTCGGGAACAGAATCATTGGAGCCAGTAGAATGAGACCTCAGCCCACTCCCTCTGTGGAACCCGGAAGACTCCTCCAAAGAAAGCAGCTGAGAACATACAAAATCCAAATATCTATATACATAGATATGTATATGTCACATCATGGGTCCCTGAAGGGGGTGTGAGTTTCATGGGTGCTCAGTGGGGCATGTGATCCAACCGCAGAAATGCCTCCTGGACCAGCCCGTGGGGCCTCTAGGCACAGCAGGGGTCAGAGCACACAGAGGGGCAGTGATGGCAGAGAGAGCCCCCTTGATTTTACCTGACTCTAGTCTCACACCAACCCCCAGCCACCTGACAGCTTGTGCTACAGTGGGAGCTTACAGGGTGCTGTGTTTCTGCCAGCAATGACACATTATTTCAAAGACCAGCAGGGTCATCAACGGTGGACAGGCTCAGCAGAGCTTCCAGACTAAGACAGACTAGGAAGAAAGACCGGCCATCTATTTCTGGAAGAAATACCTTACAGACCCCAGGCCCACAATCATCGTCCACCTCCCTGGCTGTGGACATGTCCTCAGGAGCTTGAGTTACGAGGGGAGGACACGATGTCTGGTGACCCCTGGAGACCCTGGGCGAGGGGGAGCTGGTGATTCTGAGGGTGGGGCAGGACCAGCAGGCCTCCCTCGGTTTCACGTGGGTGGCCAGGAGTCAGCCAGAGGGCGGCTAACAACAAGGACACAACACAACGCTGACCGACGTGCACGCCGTCTGTGTGCAACACTGACAGATGCTGATATGTGATCGCACTCGAGCAACCAACACCTGGATCAAGATACATAGCACCTCTAACACCTCAGAAGGTCTGTTCTGTCCCTCCCCGGCCGAAGACCACTGCATACGACGGCCTCATCAGTTCCAGGGTGCAAGTCCAGCCACCTGGTTCTCAGCCACCATGGGCGGCGGCCTCTGTGCTGAGGTGCTTACCCCCCAGGGGGTTTGGGCTGTAACACCTGGGCAGGTAGGAACCTGGAGGCTCTGAGCCTGGAAGAACACTGCTGTTGACTAGCTACTAGGAAGCCCTTAGAGCAGCGGGTGTCCACCTGTGGGTCTCGACCCCTTTGGGGGGCCGAACAACCCTTTCACAGGGGTCGCCTGATTAATAACAGTAGCGAAATTACAGTGATGAAGTAACAATGAAAATAATGTTCTGATTGGGGGGGCGGGTCACTACAACATGAGGAGCTGTATGAAAGGGTCGCGGCATTAGGAAGGTTGAGAACCACTGCCTTAGAGAGATCAAAGGGCCCTGTCAACGGGCCTCTGCCTTCCCAAGAGGTATGGGTGGCACTGTTCCCATGGCAGGTGGCAGGGGTACCGGGAAGTGGTGCTCAGGCCGAGGGCCCAATCTCACACAGCACTCACTGATGCCCCCATGGTCATTTCTGGGCCCACTCGCTCTACACCCATGTTCTCAGAGCTGGGAGCGCATCAACTGACCACAGAAAGGGTAGGGGAGAAGGGGGAGGGTGCCGGACACACGGGATTATCTAACGACACGTGGCGCTACTTGGGCTTTGAAAGACAGAGGCAGGGGGTGGTGTGTGGGGGTGTCCCTGTGATTGCACACGACAGGAATGGGTTCCTGCGGCCTGGGGTTTTCCAGCAGAGTTTCTAGAGTTATCGAAGACCTCACATTGAATTTGGAGAAACACGTGTGTGGGTTTGGGTTCCGGGAATGGCTCCTGGCATGGCGGACATGGCGCAGGCTCTGGGCGACCAGCTGGAAGGTGGTGAGTCCTCCCGGAGGAGCCTCAGGAGAAAGGCCTGGCAACTGAGGTCTGGAAAACCGGCCGTGGAGACCCTCCCTCCCTTGGGAGAGCGGCTCTACTGGGACCCTGTGGGGGGCCGGGGGCCGGAGTCGGCACCAAGGAGATCTGCACTACACGCCTTCGAAAGCACTTGCAAGAAAGCACGCTGCATTCTCCAAGCGCTGTCCACAACGGCGACCGGGAGCTCCTCCGGGTACTGACAAATCACGTGCGCGTGCGTGTGCGCGCGCGCGTTAGAATGGTGAAGAAGCGCTTGCCCCTCGCTGCTGTCACCATTCGAGTTTATTTTAAGCGAGTGACTAATTGGGAAGGATGCAGGTCAACAGCATTTTTGTTTCCTTTTTCTTCTTTTTTTTAACTCAAAGGACACAGGTTGGGCCAAACGGCTCTGTGGGGTCCCCTGTCGTCTAGTCATGTGTTTATTCGTTTTAAGGATTCTGATCCTGGTGTGGCTGGGCAGCCCCCACACAAAGCCTGTGCATGGACTGCTGAGGCCAATGCCGGCCTGCAAGTGCCACCTGTCTTCCGGGAGGTCGAATCCTTGCGGGCGTGGAAGCCGCTGTGTTGTCTGTATTAAGTTCAATAGTAAGTGAATGTCAGGTAACTGAACACACACATTATCTGTATTGTAAATACAGATAAACATTCGAGGCAGGACCCACAAAAAAAATCAAGTTGGAAAATGCCTGGTTTGGGGTGTTGGGGAACTGGGCTCACTCCTGGCTTCTGTCTCCCCAGTTAAATCTCAGCCCCTTTTCTCATGTCCCCACCTTTATCTCCCTCCAAAGGTCCCTCATTCCCTCAAGGCCAGGGGGTGGGGAGTTCTCGACGGACAGCCCATCACTCTGGGGAACAGCCCAGCCTCAGCAGAACTAGGGCAGAAGCAGGACGCCAGACCAGGAGGGTCGGGCTCTGGCCCCATCGCCAGGACCTTGGATGGGCGGACGACAGACGGCACTGCCTCTCTAGGGACGGGGAAGAGAACCGAGCTGGGGCCTCACACTCACCCTTCTTGGTGGCTTCGAAGCTGTCGTGGAAGTGGATCCTCTGGATGTCGTAGGTCAAGGTTGTGTTGGGCAGCAGCGTCCGGTTCCTGTTGATGATGTTGGCAGAAAATCGAAAGGCATGCTCCTCTGAGTTCATGACCTGGGCGTTGGGGCCATCGGCATACTCAAAGATTCCTCCTGCGGGAGATGAGGGGAACTGTGTGTGGGGATGGGGCAGGGGCCACTCGGAAAAGAAATGCTTAGCTAAGAAAGTTTTATGAGCAAGATCCCCCCACACACACACTGTTCCATAATACCCTAGATCATTTTCACGCACAGAAAATTGCGCTGGAGCCCAGGGAATAGGAAAACCTGCCTGTTCAACTATCAAATGGCTGGCAACAGAGCCTGGCAAGGATGGTACCCGCAAAGAGAATTACCAGCTGATTGATAGTGGCGGGTGAATGCTGCACAGAGTGCTGGCACACGGAATCTACCAGAATATTATGAGGATACTGTCCCGTGACCAGGGACGCAAGGGTGGTCCGAGAGAAAGAAATCTATGCCTCTCATTCTAGAGCAGCAATCGTTCACAGGATGAAAAAACAAACTGGACGATCAACCCACCAGTCAGAAACGCATCAGATAAAATCCAATTTCTGCTGCTGTTAAGAATTCTTAATAAAACAGCCCCAGAAAAGATATTTCCTTGATGTCTCTTTAGCTCCAATCACCCTCCGAGATTATACTAATGGAGAAACACTAGAGGTATCCCCATTAATGAGTAGAAATGGGAGGGAGCACGGAGCCACACTCACGCCATTAAGCACTGAAATAAGAGAGAGAGAAAAGAATTAAGGGGTACAGCTCTTAGAGGCAGCATTCTTATTTGAGAATGATGGAAACCCCTGGGAGACCCCTTAGAGGAGCCCCGGGTTACATGCTGGGCTGCAGCACCAGGTCAGCCGTGGGAGCTGACCGGCACACCAGGCTGTCTGCTGCGGCGCAGAGTGGTGGTTCCTGAAAGCCACCAGGGCTGTACTTTTCTGTCCTGTCGGGTCTCCGTGGGTCAGGATCGACTCCAGGTACGGAGTGAGAAAACCCTCCGGAGAATTTCCGAAACATGAAACTTAGTCGGAGCCAGTCAGAGAGCCTAGTTACAGGACCCGTTCACAGAAACGAACGGCATTTCTTTATGTCAACCACCATCAGTAGGAAACACAATAGTAAAATGACAGCCGTGACCATATAAGAGTCGAATCATGACTAACAGGCCAATTAAAGCGTGTAGGACGCCAGCACTTAACGACAGAAGCGACAACACTTGCAGGGCGATACGGGAAAGCACACCCAGAGACCCTGTGGGCATGCTCCTGAGAGGACGGCGAGGCTGGGGCGCCGTGCTCGGTGCGCGTGCGGAGGGCCGTCCCCGGGAGAGCACGTGGCCCAGGTAAAGCAGAGGGGCGTGGAAAGGAGGAGGCAGACCCTCGGCGACATGCATGCACACACTGGCTGCAACACGATGCTCCAACCGAACCACAACCGTGAGCGCGGGGCCGGGCCGCCGGGTGGTGTTTTGCTCTGTCGTGGGAAGTGTCGCTGTGAGTTGGAGCTGATTACAGACGGCATGCCAGGCTCCTGCACGGCAACGCTCAAGGGCTGAAGTGTCTACTTCCTCCAAATTGATATTTGGGTCCGGCGCCCTTCCGATCAGAATCAAGGAGGCATCTTCCTATTGGCTGGAGAAGGTGACTGTAGAATGCATCTGGAAGGCTACACAGGAAGTAACAGCCATGGTATGTTTTAAAAAGAATGATGAGAGGTGACTGGTACTGCCACATTTTACAATGCATCAAAAGCCAAAGGAGTAAAGCCGCCTTATAAGGCCATATAAAAACACAGGCAGTTGGATGGGCGTGACATGGAAATCATTCAGAAGCAGATGCACGTAGACAGGAGTATTTATTACATGACACAGGTGGGGTTTTCAACCAGCACGTAAAGGATGGATTGATTTATTCATTAATCACGCCAAGATAATTATTCAATTATTTGGGAAACATTGAAGTGAAAGCCTCATCTTAATCCATACATCAAAAGAATGTCCAGATGGATCAGAAATTAAATAGTATTAAAGTAAGAGAAAGGTGAAAGGGTGAAACACAATAAAAGTACCCAAAAAGCCAGTCAGGGTGCAGCATAGCACCGACGAAACACACAATCTTCCTCTAGTTCTTTAATGCTACCGTCCCCCACTACCATGACTCCAATTCTATCTTACAAATCTGTCTATACCAGAACATGTACACTGGTACATATAAGGGGCTCGCAACCCAGGGAATCCAGAACAGATAAACTTCTCAGGATCAATAAGGGGATCAGCGATACTAGGAGGGTAAGGGTGGATGGGGAGTAAGGGGGAACCGATCACAATGATCAACATCCCAGGGAGACGTACAGCAGAAAGGTGTGTGAAAGGAGACAGCAGTTAGTGTAAGACATGAAAAAAAAGAATAATTTATAAATTATCAAGAGGACATGGGGGAAGGAGGGAAAAATGAGGAGCTGATGCCAGGGGCTCAAGTAGAAAGAAAGTGTTTAGAAAAAGATGATGACAACATGTGTACAGATGTGTGTGACACAATGGATATATGTATGGATTGTGGTAAGAGTTATAAGAGGTCCCAATAATAATTTTTTAAAAAAGGAAATAAGACCGAATACCCTACAATTCAGAGATAGTAACTAGATGAATAGTTCCTTAGGGTTATGGTTGGAGAGGCTGAAGGGAATGGGGAGCTAATATTAATGAGTACAAGGGTGAAGACAATGTTCTCAGATGGACTGTGGTGATGATCGCATAAATCTTCTTAATATCTTTAAAGACCTGAATTGTGCGGTATGTGAGTTTTATGCCAAGAAATCTTTAAAAAATAAATACCCCACAATATATACCTTTGTATGATGCTACCCACAATGAAAGGACAAGCAACACACTTGGGAAATACCTCTAACGTGCGTGGGGGCGTGCAGGTTGCCACCTGTATTTTATACAAGGCACGCAGAGCTCAGCCAGAAGAAAAGGCAAGCATCTCCAGAGAAATGCATGCCAAGGACCAGGGCGGCTGTTTCAGAGGGATGAACAGCCAACACCATGCCGAGCCTTTCCACATGATGCAAGGTGCCCCTCACTAACAGCCGACGCCACCTCACGAGCCAGCCCCACCCTGCTCTGCTCATCCCTTCCCCGTCCAGCTGACAAGGAGCGGGCACCACCTATGAGCGCTCAGTTAGCCGTGGTGAGGGGCTTAGAAACGGACATTTTAACGTCACTGCTGCTAAAGTGGAAAAAACTCCAGCCTCTCTTGAAGACCCTCAGAAAAAACAAAGGACTCAACAAGCCCTTTTCTCGGAATGGACTCGGACAACTGCGAGTCCTCCCCAAGGGGCAGGGTCGCCAGAGCCTGACTGTCCAGCCGCCTAGAGCAGTGGTTCTCGAGCTTCCCAACTTTCATACAGCTCCTCAAGTGGTGGTGGCCCCCAAACATCAAATTATTTTTGTTGCTACTTCATCACTGTCAGTTTGCTGCTGTGATGAATGGAACATCATTAAAGCATAGTGATTAATCACAAAAACAATATGTAATTATATATTGTGAAATATTTATTTATAATGGCAAATCAATCAAATTTGGCTTGAAGCATGATGTAGCATGGGTCACAATCTTCACGCCGGGTACTCGTATGGGGGTGTAACTGCATGTGGGAGGACCATTGGAAATATGTATTTTCTGATGGTCTTAGGCGACCCCTGTGAAAGGGTCAGTAGACCCCCAAAGGGGTCACCACCCAGAGGTTGAGAACCGCTGCCCTAGAGGGAGGCAATGAGTGGCAGGATATACCTACCACGGCAAAAAGCCGATGGCATGAGCAGTACCGGGGACAACACGGGTTCTGAAGCAAGACGTACTGGGTGAGCTCCGCGGAGGAGGGGAGAAAGGGCAGCACTGCACCAACGTGAGGACCAGCTCTCCCACTCGCTGCCGTGGGGCAATGCTGGCTCATAGCGGCCACCCCCCCCACCCCCCAGGGGTTTCTGAGACTAACTGTTTCCGGGAGTCGAGGGTCTAGTCTTTCTCCCGAAGAGCAGCTGGTGGTTTCGAACTGCCAACCAAGTGGATCACAGCCCAAGGCGTAACCACGACAACCCCAGGGCCCCTCTGGGAAGAACAGAGGCATTCTGTGAAAGGACGGTAGTTTGGATGTAGCAGTCGCCCTGTGGGAGCAAGGCCCCCCGGGGACTTGGGAACATAGCGGGGCGGCTTGACCCTGCTCTGTGGCCCTTGGAGTGGACTCGGCAGGTTTGGGTCTGAGGAGACACTTCAGATCCCTGGAATTCTGCACGAAGCTCGCAGTCTTCTGCGCCTGGCTTCTTCCATCCGCGGTCACCCGCGGTGCCAAACGCATCTGTGTACTCTGCTCCTGGTCACCGCTGATGAGAACGACTTCGCGTGGCTGTACCACATTTTATTGACCCACCTGCCAGTTGGTGAGCATTTGGATTGTTGGCTTGTTTTCCGTCACTTTGACCTGAAAGCAAAAAGCCCTAAACAAAACCCTGAGTGCTCCAGGTAGATGACCACGTGCCCGCCCTCCCCCAGAGCAGACAGCACGCTCATCGTGTGTGTCTCGCAGCGTGGCTGCAGTTGAGCCGGTGTGCACGTGCACACGCATGCTAGGCTCACACAACAAGGAGTAGAATTCGGACCAAACATCGAGGAGAAGGTGTTTTTCTTCTGAGTGACAGGATTACGGCGGGCTTTAATTTCCTTCCTTCTGTTTTTCTGTATTTTCATAAAGTGCTCCCGTGAACATGTGTTATATTTCTAATCAGAATAACCATCATGTGATGGTGTATGTGTCTGAAGGAAAATAAGCGATCAAAATACCATATGACCCAGTAATTTCTTTTCTAGGAATATCAATGTCGGGAAAAACCCGGAGAGCTAAGAACACGTTCATAATATAATATCAAAAGAAATTTAGAAACAACTTAATGTCTCAAAGCAGGCTCTAACTCAATACATGAAAACCTTGGAGGCTTTGACCCTCAAAGGATGGGATGCTAATGTAAGGGCTTGCTTCCAAATAAGGTGGATGTGGAGGGGGTGCAGATGAGGCAGAAGCCCAAGGTTGAT